AGTAGGATCAGAATTCAGAACATGCAGAAAATGTCTTTTTTAATAACAGAAATGGGCATGAATGCTGTTCTCTTCTCATATTTGGGCAAAAAACAAAACAAAACAAAAAAAATTTCACAAGTTTCACTGTTTAATAAAGTTTCTGTCATCTGTATATTTATGCTCTCGCATATTTTTATCACACCGTATTGTGGTTATATTCTTTCTTTAGGGGGGTAACAAAGTGTTAAATATCCAAAACAACAATTGTCATACTAACACGTTTGCAGATTAAAGCACAATTATTGACCTATTGCAATTGTCTCTGACGTACTTCACACGATTAAACCTGTGGAGATGTGCGAGACGTCCAGAAAAACGTGTGTTTGTAGCAGATGCGAGCTTATTTCTTCAAAGGCACTTTTAACCAGTATATTCATGCAAAAACAAAGTTTGCATTATTTCTTCTTTGATTCTTGCTTAAGATTAAAATAATAACTATGAAAAGCAGCAACGGCATTTTTCTTAGTTAAAACGAACCATCAGTAATGTGTTCCAAGGCTTCGCGACCATTTATAACAGCGTTTATTCTCAAATTCGAAGGCTTATTGTATACTTTTTATAAGTTCGTAAAAATACATCATGTTTTGACCTGGAAAAAAATCCAGCACCACTGAAAGAAGCTCTCGTATCGAGAGCTATAGATTAATATTGACATTAATGATTAAAAACATTCTAAAATATTATGCAGAAGTTACAATTAAGAACTGGTGTTCTTAATGTATAACCTGATTAGAAACTGGATTAAACAATTGGATTAAATTAAAAGGTTTGACATTAAAATGAGTTTCCGTGTAGATTATCTAGCCATATACAGGCACAGTTGCTCCATTGGTCAATTTTAGCAGCTCTAGAAAGTCCGTGATGAAGCTGCGGTCATAAGAGTTCGGCAAAACCTGAATATACTGACAGCTGAAGAAACATCCAGGTAGAAAGTTAATAGCGTAATACTTTAGCAACAGCAGTAATAAAGCTCCAGACCGGGTGCAAAACGTTAAATGTCTGTCAGGTAGGTGCATATGTACAGGTAAGGCACGTCTCTGGAATAATTCCAGTCAGGAACGCTCTCTGGATCAGGACGAACCGTCTTTGATAACGGGTGTTATTGGTTGTTTGGCTCCTGGTCTCACGGTGAACGTCATTCCAAACTGCTGTTTGGTTGATGGACCATTACTGAAAGATAAAGAAGAGTCTCATTATTCTTAAGTAAACGCTTTAAATACAAAGTTATAAAAGCATGAAGTATTAGAACTTCAAGTAACTGCCATTTGATTCCACTTTAACCAGTAATTCCTCAATATTACGAAAGATTTTTGTGGGCATGTATGCTGCATGTTGTTGTGTTTAAGCTTCTAAATATATCGACTTAAGCAGTTTCATATGCATTGTAAATCATAAATGTCATGGAAACAGCTGTTGAGTGTTGTTCCAGTCTATTTATCTTCCTGATGATTCATCTCAGCTATGTGCATGTGCTATGAGGGAAGCGTTGCCTGTGATCACAGTCATGCGTAATTGTGTGCATTATTCCAAAGAAAAAAACGTTACATAATCTTTCTGTACATAATCTGACGTCATCAAGTCTCTTATGGAATCTTGTTTCCGCCTCAAAGTAAAAACGAAATAAAAAGGTAGTTGCCACTTTATTTCTTGTAATTGCATCTTAATGTCTCCCAATTGTAACTTTATACAATGTGGATCTTTTCCTTTCCCCGTTGATAAAGCCCTGGCTGACATTTTTCCTCAATTAATGTCACGTTTCACTCGAAAAATGCACATTACAGAAGTAAAACGGATTGTGAATACCATTTCATGTTGACTTTAACCATGTGTTTACCTGTTCTGGGATTTAGCCGAAGTGGACAAATTTTGAGCTTTTTTGGCCGCTTTGCTTTCCAGCTCCTTCATGTCCACTCCACGAGTTTGCGCCGGCAAGGTGGCACTGCGGTTTGTCATAGGATTGTATGTGGTAAGGGGCGACGTGGCCTCGTCATCAGACAGTGGAGAGTTCCAGTCATCTCCGTTGGTCTCCACCTCTTTGACAGCCGAGAACTTGGGGTCCATCTCTAGCATCTTCTTCTGCAGGATACTGAGAAGTGTCGCCTGGCTAGCGGAGACGGATGGAGCCACTTGTGAAGGGGGTTGAGTGTGTTTCATTTGAACAGGTGGTTTGGATTGGAGATGGATATTTGGGGGAGGTCCTGGGGCCTTGGGAGGACAGCTGGGTGGTTTATGTTTGGGCGAAGTGAGGGGCCCATTGGTGACAGGAGGAGGGGTCGGAGGTTGGGAGGGTTTGGCAGGTGGACCATTTACGATTGGAGTAGGTAAGGATTTAGAAGGTGGAGGGGCAGGTTTTACAGGGGCAGCAGGAGCGGGGTGACTTGGAGGGGGGCAGCTGATAATAGGAGCAGGTGTAGCAGGTAAGAAGGTTTTAGCAGGTGGAGGGGCACTTTTCACAGGGGGAGCAGGAGCGGGGTGACTTGGTGGGGGAACTGGAGGTTCCTCCTCAGAGTCCGAGTTGGCAAATTCAGGAGGCGGTGGAATGAAGATCAAGGCTTCTCCAATTTCCACATCTCTAACAGGGACACCCAGTCCACTAACAGAGCTATTCATTGGGCTTCGTAGAGGGGTTGAGCTTAGCTCTGGCTTTGAGTAGGACATATCTGGAAGGTTAACTTTAGTAGATAGTGAGGTGATTGGTTGCGTGTTTGTGGTCGACTTTAATTGTGCATTGGGACTGTCTGGTGTTGGGTTTCGAGAAATGACGGTGAAGGAGTTTGGTTTTTCTTCACTAGGTTGGATCACAGAACTGACTGGCTCTGTTGAGTTACTGTTCTTTTGGGACAGAGCAGTTCTCTGCTTTTCTCTTTCCTTTGCAGCCATCAGCAAGGCCAAAGGTGAAGTTGTGGTCTCTTTCTTTACTGAGCCGTCTGCGCCCCGTGTTTTGAGATGTCGGTGGTTCAAGATAGGGCTGTACTTGCGAGGCCTGCCAGGGGACGCAACTGGGGTCACCACCTGCCTAACATCAGGTATCCTTTTCTCTATTTTGGGCGAGACTTTAATTGGTGCTGGTACCTCAGTGGGGATGTTTTGTGCCAGTACAGGCTCAGGATTTATTTTAGGCTCTACCTTGGCTGGTTCACTTGGAGCTTGTGCCATGTCTGGCTGGTCATCCTGTAGATGAGTGGCGGAGCTGTTTCGACGGGCTGGTTTGGTTGGTGGCACCCCTGGTTGGAAAGATCCAGGATTTTTCCCACTGTTCCCATCGACAACACCAACCGTGTTTCCAGCAGAATCTTCCAGCAGCAGAATGGACTGGACTTTTTTTTCCCCTTCTGTCTGTCCGCCAAGTAGTGTGCTCTTCTGCACGCTGTAGAGTTTGGCTGTGTTCTGGGGGTTGAAGCTAGATGGTGTTGGGTTGGAAGCAACGGGTGGCACAGGAGTTTGGGACAGGATGTCCAGATTAGGTATGGAGGACATTCGGACGGGTTTTGGAGGTGCTGTTTTATGAGCTTTTGCAAGAACAGGTGATGCTTTCACCGGGGGTGGCGGTGGGGTGAACTTGGGGCATTCTGGGATATCTTGAACACCAAGGCTAGAGAGAGAACCTCTGAAGCTGGAAGTTTCCGATGGTGGTTTTGGAGGACGCATTGGAGGAGGTTTGAGGGAGGTCAAGTCTAAATCTGCACTGTAATCGGAACTGTTAAGTGATGGAGGTTTTGGGGGCGTCTTTGGAGGGGGATGCAGACTTGCACGGTCTAAAGAAGGGTCCATTTCGCCAGAGAACTGTGGTGAGGGAGGGATGAATGATGGAGGCGGCAGGGCTGAAAAAGGAGGAGGAGGTGGAGGGGCGGAGCCAGGCGGAGGTGGTATAAGTATTTCCCCCTGGAGGAGGTCAGGGACGGAAAGCATCCTTCCATTTGGTAGGTTTGTGGTGCTTCCTACAATAAGACAACATGAAAATCAACCACAGGTTCATTAAAACACCTCAGCATGTTGAAAACATTATTTACTGGCTCCCATATTTATTTAGTGTTCCTTGATCAAAGACAAGAAGTTAACTATTCCCAGCCAGTTCTGTGTTGTGAACTCACCTGTACCATTTATCTTGGGCTTGTTGAATGGCGGAAGAACTGGTACCTTGGGTGTTGGAACTGCAAAGCCTTGCACACTCTCAGATGACTAGGGTTTAAAGAGAAGCATTTGTCAGCAACATCCTGATTAAAGGAGACTGTT